GGGGTTTGCTCTAGGCAGCCAGGCTGGTTCCAATCCTGGGATTCCCACTTCCAAGCAGGTTACTTCATGTCTCTGTGCCTCGGTCTTCTCAACTGTACAATGAGAATAATAGCAGTACTGGGATCTCATGGGGATAGCAGTCAGGGTTACATGAGATCATACATGTAAAGAATTTGGAACTATGCCTAACACTTAAGACGCTCTCAATGAATGTGAGTGATATTACTCCTTGACATTGGGCTCCCTCAATTTCCTTCTTCTTGGCTCCTGATGTTTCCTTTAGACATTCATTTCCACAACTATATTCTGTATCTTGTCATTACCCCACTTGGCCATCCTCTGAAATTTCAACCTCCAGCATTTTTCTCACCCCCATTACATTTATTGCACTTGTCCATGACCCCTCCTCTCCCGGAAGGCTATAACTATCTTCCTGGCCTTACTCCCCATTCAGCCCTATCTTTCTGCATTTCAAAATCTTCTGTAGCATCTGGTCCTGTTGTTATGGCAAATGTGCCATCCCCACCCTTGGGTTGACCCAATTAATGCACATGTCGCAAGCCTATATCTACAGCTGGAGAAGATCACATCACTGTGTAGGCTGATGACATCCCCAATCCATGGTCTCTAGCCTCGGGACAGCCCACTGGCATTGGGCTCTGTCCTTGGTCATCTCCCCTCCCCCTCTATCACCAGGCCCCCATTTCTCAGTAAATGACTTTGCCTCCTACTTCTCTGATAGCATGGAAGCTGTAGAGCATGACACAGTTCCCTTTCCTGAGTGTTTCTTCCTGCCTCTGCCTTCATGGCCTCTCCTCTTCAGAGACCTCACCCTGCTTTTGTCTAGGCCTCTCTATCTCCAGGAACACCAGAGATCTAGGAATGGCCAACCCAGCAGACACTTCTGTCCTCCTTGAACCTGACTTCTACACAGTCTTGTTCCACTCCGTCCTTCAGATTCACTCTTCACCCTTACTAGTTTTCCTCCCACATCCTACAATCTCCTTTTCAAAACCCCTTTCTGTCCACCTCCCTCTGCCACCTCTTCTGTGTTGTAGATCCCAGATTTCCCTCTAGGATGGTTCCACTGTTTCTGAGTTGGATAGCCAAGAGCTTGAAACAACACAGCTCTGCCCCTCTTAGCAATCCTCCTACCACTGCCCTTCTTTCTGAACCCATTGCTGAGTTCAGACCTTAATCATTCCTGCCTGGATATGGGTCTCCCCATTGTAGCCCATTCTCCCACCGTGCAGTTGAGTGTTAGCCTTAAAATATGAACTGACTACATCATGCCTCTGCTTGAAATTTTTCTGGGGCTCTTCAGAACCACTAAACCAAATTTAAATTCCTAGAGCAAGTCTTGAGCTGCCTTCAGCTCCCCGTGCACTCTAGCACCGTCACAACAAGCAGACCATCCACTTAGCCATCTACTTCCCAAATACCTAGTGCAGGGCCTGAGTCCTAAAAGAGCCACACTCATTAATGGGCCTACTTCTCAATTCCCTTAAAACAAGCAACTTCCCATTCAGGTAAACTAACTAATAATAATAAGTGAATGGTCAGTGTAAACCACTCTTCAAAGGTTTCTAGAAGCGCTGTCTGCCTCTTCCCACAACTTGGCTCAAGTCTCTTCACCTCTGGCCTGTACCTTCACACCAAATGCCAGGCTTATTTCCTTCGGCCCTTCCTCTCACCCTATACCAGACTGACCACCAAATGGAAGTCTGGCCACATTTCTCTCCACTCCAAATTCCACCTCTGCAGGCTGCCACAGGGAGGAGTCTAGAAGTCATGCACAAAGGGCCACATGTAACTTGATTCCATTTCTACGGAGTGAAAGAACAGGCAAATCTATAGAGATAGAAAGAGTAGTGTTTGCTTAGGACTGGGAGGGACCAGGTATGGACCAGCAATAGCTATAGTGTACAAGGTTTCTTTTGGAGGTGAGGAAAATGCTCTAAAATTTACTGTGGTTAAGTTGCAACTATCTGTAAGTCCACTAAAAGCCACTGAATTACTATTCAGGCTTTTAAAAAATATTGTCATTTGCAGCAGGACTGATGGAAGTGGAAATCATTATGTTATGTGAACAAAGCCAGATACAGAAAGACGAGGACTATGATCTCACTTTCATTTGCAGCAGGACTGATGGAAGTGGAAATCATTATGTTATGTGAACAAAGCCAGATACAGAAAGACGAGGACTACATGATCTCACTCACAAGTAGAATCTGAAAGGGCTGATCTCATAGAATTTAAGAGTAGAATGGTAGCCCCCAGAAGCTGGGAGAGTAGCAGGAGGGAGGGATGGGGAGAGGTTGATCAATGGGCACAGATTACCATTAGAGAAGAGCAAGAAGTTCTGGATTCTTTTGCAAAGTAGGGTGACTACACATAGTGATTATGCACTATACCTCTCAAAAAGTTGAAAGAAAGGATTATGAAAGTTTCTATCATAAAGAAATGATAAGTAGGGGTCGGGGCTTTAGTTCAGTGGTTCTGCTGCCTGCTTCACTAGCATAAGGGCTCGAGTTTGATCCCCAGTACAAAAAAAAAAGAAAAAAGAAATGATAAATATTTGAGAACATAGATATGTTTAACCTGATTTAAACATTACACAATGTGTACAATTTTACACATGTGAAAACATAACATGGCATCACATTAATGTGTGCAGTTTTTGTGTATCAGTAAAACACCTTTTTTAGGGGCAGGGTATACAGCTCAGTAGTAGAGCACTTGGCCACTAGCATGCCTAAGGGCCTTGGTTTGATCCTTAGGCCTCAAAAATAATATTTTTGAAAAGTTATGTACTTTAGGGCCAGGGATTTAGTTCAGTGGATCACAAGCACCAGGATCCAAGTTTGATCCCTGGTACCAAAAAAAAGAAAAAGAAAAGAAAAGTTATGTACTTAGGATTTTATATATATTTCGGTGAATAATATAATATATGAGTTATATCTACAAAAGGCTATTTTTAAAAACCCAGTGCTAGGGTGTAACTCAGTGGTAGAGGGCTCGCCTGCATGCACAAGGCCCTGATTCCCAGAACTGCAAAAAAAAAAAAAAAGAGAGAGACCTACAACGGCTTCCCATCTTTCACTAGGGCGCTCCCAGCTGCCACTTAGCTACTCTGAGCATGGAGTAGCACTTAGGATGTGCTGGATGTTGTTCTTAAGCACTTAGTGTGGCCCATCTCATTTTACCCTCACAGCACTCTAATGCAGGCATTATGGTTCCACCCATTTTGCTGATGGGTAAACTGAGAAGAGAGGATTGAGTGACTTGCCTAAGACTACCTAATTCCCTTGTGGTTATGTGTAGCACAGGCACTTCTTCCAGTGTGTCGTAAGGACGTGTTTACACGTTTCTCCCCACTGGGCTGCAGGCTCCTGGGACTTGGCCACAGTGTCTGGTTCAGTGCTGTATTCCTTATGCCCAGCACAACAGCCATCAACCCTGACTTAAGAACCTTAAAAGGTCCTGGAAATGCCAGGGCTGGGTTCAGTGGTCTTGCAGTCTTGAGCCTAAATTTCCTTTGGCAAGGTAACTTCTACCCAGCCTGTACCACACCCCACACACCAGAAGACAGATGCTAGGTGTCTTCCAGAATGATTTCTCCTGAGCCATTGTGTGATTTCCCTCCTCAGAGCCTGTCCCCCTCCTGGGACCCTTTCTGTAACCAAGCGGTTGGCCCTGCCCAGAGCCACTCACTGCACCCCTGTGGCCTGGCCATGTCCCCCAGCTGTCCCTAAGTACAGCAGGCAGTACAGGAGGTTTCTCCAGAAGGCCCTGCCCAGTATCTAGTATTCATATATCTATATTCCCATCCTCTCTCCCTCCCTCTCCCTCCCTCTCTCTCCCTCCCTCCCTCTCTCCCTCTCCCTTTTCTCCCCCCTCCCCTCACTGAGCTCCAGCTCCAGCCCCAGCCCTGTCTCTTGTACTCAAGGATGTTGCCAGTGTCCCCCATGTCCCGGCAGGTGGTACAAGATTTGACGGGGGTGAAGGAAAGCTTCCCTGGGTGGTCTTGATGAAGTAGACTGAGATGTTTGAAGAAATACAGGTTTTCTCAGAGAAGAGCCAGACTGACCACAGCTCTTAGGGGCTTGGTGACGGATGAGTCCAGGGGAAGCAGATAGTGCCACCCCACCCAGTTTTCTGGCCCAGACCGGCAGTTTAGCCTCCCCTGCTCCTAACCTCGTTCTAGAAGGCATTGCCCAGGCCATCTCTCTCCCTCCCTTCTCCCCTCCCCGCTTCTTTCCTGGACCTCAGAAGTCCCATTTTCTGTGGAATCCTTTGTGAGGAGCTCTTCCCAAATGGCTTGGCATAGGGCAATCTATCAAAGTCAAGTCTAGCCCACATGCCCCTCTTCGGCAAATCTGGCCATGTTCTGGCTCACATTTTTCACTCATGCCCCAACCTCTCCTACCCTACAGACAGATAGTGAAATCTGTGTAACTACGAGGTCCAGAAAACTCTAGGGAGAACGCCCATCCCCAGCAGCCTTCCATCCTCCCCCACCCTAGGCACTCAGTGTATAGTAGGGAAGCCGCTGCAGCTCTTGGAAACCAGAGCTGGCAGAAGCTGGTGGAATGACCAAATGGCCCAAGGAGGCCAGCCTCCCCTCCTGGGCACACCGGGCTACAGTCTGTGGATTCAGAGAGCTCTGCACAGCAATAGCTTTTTGAGACAAGCCCACACTCTCCGAAAAGACAGGACTCCCAACTTGACTGATTTTCTGCCTTGCAGAATTTATCTCCAGGCAGCTCCCTAAGTTCCTCTCCCCAGAAGAGACAGAAACAAAGTCAAGCTGTAATGGAGTACAAACAGCAGCTTTCAGCCCCTGTGCCCCCCCCCCAAGGAGAAGCAGGGAGCTAGCAAAGGGCCTGGCCCAGCCCCAGCCCCGGGGCTGTCTTTGCATTGGGGCAGCGTGTTCCCCTGGGGACACGACTGCTGACCCTGGGCCAAACCCCCGACCCTGAACAAAGAGTAGCACTTACCATGATAGAAAAGATGAGGGGAATGAGGTTGAGGGGCCAAACTGGGCAGAAACAAGAGGCGATGGCAAGAACGAGGTAATCTTTGGGGGCTTCTTGGTCCTGGGCGAAGGAAGTGGTAGCGATGGAGGATGCCCTCCTTGAGCTGGCCCGGGAAGGGGAGCCGGGCACTGAGGCCTCCCGGTGCACCTCAGAGATCACCTTGAAGGGCAGACTGTGGCCATTCTGCTCCAAGTCCACAGCACCAGAGAGGGACTTGGACAGATCCAGGGCTTTGTCATCTTTGCTGTCCACCTTGGTGAGGAGCTTCTCCATCTCGGGCAGGTTCTGCGGTAAGGTGGAGCTCAGCTCCTGTGCCTGGGAAAACTGAGGCTGCGTGGGGTTAGCCATGTTGACCTGAGCCTCGGGCTGCTCCAGCTCCAGGCTGGGGTGAAGGACTCCAGAGGGAACTCAGTGCACCATTCCCCAGCCCAGACTACGGGCCCAGGACAGAGGGCCAGGTGGCCTCTGGCAGGGTGAGAAGGGGATTCAGGAAGCCAGGGGAGTTCAGAGGCTGGGGCCTGCTGCTGCCCCTGCAGAGCTCCCAGGAGGATGAAGCCTTCAGCTCCGCTCAAGTTTGAAGCCAACTTTGCTGGCTCTGCTGACGGCACAGATGGGCGGGGAAGCAACAGAAAGCTCAGAGAGCAGGAAGGCTTAGGCAGAGGCAGGGAGGCGTGTGTGTGTGTGTGTGTGTGTGTGTGTGTGTGTGTACCACACAGCTTCCCTCCCTCTTTGCCCTCCTTGGAGATATCTTTCCTTTTCAATTCCCCTTTCCCCAGAGAACCATCCCAGCAGCATCCTGCCTCTGCCCAGCCCAGTCCAGCTCAGCACAGCCCAGAGAGCCAGCCTCTGGTTTCCACTGCAGCACTAAGATCTGCTCTTCTGGGCCAGGGGCTCTAGGTTGGGTCACAAAGGTGTGTGCCTTCAATTGTTTTGGAAACTGAGTCCTCTGCTTCTTTTCTACTGAGGAGGCTTATGCTTCTTCTCTTTGGGAAATGCTGGGTCCTAGACCTACCTACCACAATCTCACCCAGACTATGACCGTCAGCCCCAGAGATGGCCAGGCTGATGAGTCCCAACTCATGGCTGGGACCACAGGGAGGGGAGGGATGAGCACCAGTGTGGCCTCTAGAGGATACAGCGCAGCCCTCTAGCTCGGTATCCAAGCAGCTCACCACAGGCTAGGGAAGGGACCTGCTGGGGTAGGACCACCCATTCCATGGTTCCAAGGGGCAGCAGCAGAGACCTGCTGTTCAGCAGCTGCTCCGGCAGGCACCAGCCCCAAGGGGACTTAGGGTCTGGGTGCCCGTTCTGATTACCTCTCTGCTTTTCTCTGTATCTCTGACCTTTCTCCTTATCTCATTTTACAAGAGTGACCAGGAGTCACCAGGGTATGTGATATGTGGTGGGGATTACAGGGTCATGAAATCACTTAAAATCCTAGGGTCAGGTATGAGGTGGGAAACAAGTTGGAAGGGCCTTAGAAGTTGTGGGGTTCAAATCTGTTGCTATTAGAGTTTAGAAACTTAGGCCCAGCAGGGGAAAGAGGCACTCATCTCAAACTGTATCCCAGTCAGATAACAGTCAGTGGGACTAATGAGGAACAAAATCGGCCATGTCCATGGGAAGAAGTGGTTTTGGGTTGTGCATCACGGTAGCTTCAAAAATGCTGCTTCTAGGGCTGAGGGTGTAGCTCAGTGGTAGAGCACTTTCCTAGCATGTGCAATCCCTAGTACACCACACAAAGAGAGACTCCCCTCCCTCACAAGCACAAGGGCGGGAGTTCTATCCCTGGCATAAAAAAAGGAAGGAGGGGAGGGAGGGAGGGAGGGAGGGAGGGAGAAAGAGAGAGAGAGAGAGAGAGAGAGAGAGAGAGAGAGGGAGAGAGAGAAAGGAAAAAAGGCAGGCAGGCAGGCTGGTTTTAATGAAGGCCAGGCCAGAGAGGGAGGAAGTGTAAAAATCCAGAGCAAGAACTAGCCAGAGGATGAAAATTCGGATGAATTTTCAGGAATTTTCAGATTTGTTAAATTCAGTTGTATTAAATTTAAAATTTTTGCTCATAAGGAAAATCTGTTGTTATTTGCAACATGTAGGCTTCCCGCAGGGTGCTGCTTCCTCCTCCTCTCCCCTTTCCCTTCCCTCTCCCCCTCCTCCCATACCACAGGGAGGCCCTCACTCAGCCCAGACCAGGAATCCGGCCAGGAGAGTGATCTGGGCTCCCCTGCCCAGAAATTCCCAGAAAGTATGAAACCTCCTTCCAAGGGTGTCAAGTTGTGTCCTGAGACTGCTGGGCTCTTGCTCAGCATCCAGATCCAGATGCACTCAGACTCAGACCCTCTGCGGGGCCTGTGGCTGCCTAGCCGGGGTCAGTAGCCTTGATCCGCATGGGGCCACTGAGCACTTGAAATCAAATTGGGATGTACTATACATGTAAAACACACACAGGGGACCAGGGATTTAGCTCAGTGGTTCCACTGCCTGCCTTTTGAGCACAAAGCCCTGAGTTCAATCCCCAGTACCATACACACACACACACACACACACACACACACACAGGATTTCAAAGACATGGTACCCAAGAAGAGGGGGGAATGTAAAATAAAATATCCCTTTCATACTTTTTATATTGATTCCATGTTGAAATGATATTTGGATATATTGAGCTAAGTAAAATGTTATTAAAATTAATTTCATCTGTTTCTTGATACTTTTACAAAAAAGGGCCTAGTAGAAATTTTCACATTAAAAATATGGTTCAGCCAGGCATGGTGCTGCAGGCCTGTAATCTGAGCACTGAGGAGGCTGAGACAGGAGGATCGCTGTGAGTTCAAGACCAGCCTGGGCTACACAGTGAGTTCCAGGTCAGTCTCAACTACATAGTGAGACCCTGTCTCAGGAAAACACACACACACACACACACACACACACACACACACACACATATACACACATACATATATATATGGTTTGTGTTATACTTTTATTAGTCAGCACTGGCCTGGAAGACAGAATGATCCAGACATCAGGGGGTCTTTTTGATTTGATAAAAGCGGGGGCAAGAAGCCTCCATAGTGATGGGAAGCTGCGAGGTTGCCTGGATGATGGGCTGGGGTGCAGCACTGAGGTAGGAATGAAGTTTACGCTGCCAGTGTTAAGATGCTGGGTTTGCAGTGCCACCTAGTGGACCGGTGGGAATGGGGCATATGACAAGAGCTGGGGTTGGGCACCTGAGGTGGAGGGGAGCAGGGAGGAAGAGAAACTGAAGTGTGGGCTCCCGGCTGCTGAGTCCAACCCAGCCAGCTGTGCAGGGTCTGCAGCTGCCCCAAGCAGGTTCTCTTCTGGGTCATACGTGGAGACCCAGGACTGATTCAGCACATTTTATTTTAAAGTTCATTTCAAAGGGGCTGGGCATGTAGCTCTGTATTAGAGCACTTGCCTCACGTGCCTGACACCCTGGTTTTTCTCCCCACCACCACACACACATACAAAATCATTCCACAGGAAAATTGGCTTTGAGATTTTTAACATGAGGATCTTGGAAATTTGGGCAGTTTCCTACAGGAAAGGGCCACCTGCAGTCTGCAGACGGGCGCTGAACTCCTCAGTCATCTCCGTGCTCGTGTGGCCTGCCGGCCTGAGGATCTGCATGGTAAAGCCCCGGCCCAGCCGGACATGTGGATCGGATCGACATCTTTCTGATCCACAGCTGGCTGGTCTCACTGCTCTCTGGTGTGGACACAGGGGCCTGATGAAAGCAATTCCTCTCCAGTTCCACCTTCCGTACTGAATGGTGAGCTCCTGAAGGGGCCAGATGTACCCACAGCTCCCTGCCCAGAGCCTGGCCCAGGTTAAGGCAGGCTGGAGAAAGCAGAGAAGGCAGAAAGCACTAAGTGCCCAGATGTGTCCACACCAAAACTCACCCACCTCTGTCCACCCCATCCTGAGCGCACTAAGTGTGACTAATGTTGGGAGAGGTGAGGGAGGCAAATGTTGGAAGAGAAGGGGTGATAGGAAGAAACCTCAGAAGATCTGAAACAGACTGATTGTTATATGTATACACACACAAATACACACACATCCACATAATCACATAATGCATACATGCCAACAACCTACGAGTGCTGGGCAAACGCATATCAGCCTGCAAATATGTGGATGTGTGCCTTCAAACATAAAGCCCTGATACAATGATAAAATTGCGATGTTGCAGATACCATAGTTTATAAACGCCTTCCGTTCCTGAGAGAACTCCTTATATGACCTTGAAAATAGAGTACATCTTAACAGTTTCCACTTGTGAGTAGTTATGTAGGCTCAGCACTGTGCTAAGTGCTTTAAATGCATTATCTCCAGCCAGGTGTGGTGGTGCACACCTGTAAATCCCAACACTCAGGAGGCTGAAGCAGGAGGAGTGCCTCAAATTCAAGACCAGCCTGGGTTTTATGTAGTGAGTTCAAGGCCAGCCTGAACTACATAGCGAGACCCTGTCTCAAAAACAACACCCACCCAAAAGCATTATCTCATTTAGTCTGTGCAACATCCTATGATGTACCTATTTTAGTGCTTATTTTAGCCCATTATACAGATGGGAACAATGAGGTTTGAAGCAGCTAAGTGATGTGCCCAAGATCAATAAGCTAGGAGAGGGAAGGACTCATCTCTCCTGGGAACTGATTTGTCTGCCACACAACATGTTGCCATCTGCAGGGGGTACCCTTGCTAAGGCTGCTGGCATGGCTGAATGACAAGAGTCTTCTAGTCCTGAAATTTAGGCAAAAAGGACTTGCTTATCATTTTATCATGTTTCCAGAGAATAAGTTTCTGAGGTCAAAAAAAGACTATTAAAAAAAGAAGAAGACGATGAAACAAGGCTAAAGCCGAGCATGGTGGTGCACGCCTGTGATCCCAGCACTCAGAAGGCTGAATCAGGAGGATTGCCAGCCTGGGCAGCGTGGGCTATATAGTGAGTTCAAGGCCATCCTGGACATAGCAAGACTCTGTGTCAAACAAACAAAGGCTGAAGCATTGTCCAGGCTGATCTATCAAGAGTATCACAGTAAATAAATACATAGTAATAATTTGTGAACATCTCATAATTGCTAGAAACAGGAAGATATGAACCACGTAAATGTCATAGCATTCTGAGGGGGCGCCTTATCCAGGTCAGAAATGAGGAACCTAGAGTCTGAGGAAGTAGAGGAGGGGATGGATCCCAAGCAGGTCTGGCTTTTTCCTTTCCACTGGCTGCCCCTGGCCCTGCTGGGCTCGAGGGGCAGAGTCCCATACTTTGCTCCTGGCTAGACCTAGAGGCAAAGCTTCCCTGTGATCTGTGTCACAATCTTGACTGTGAAATTTGAAGCCCTAAGTCCTGTGACTGGGACAAGACACTGACTGTGCCGGAAGCTCTGGGGCTTGCACAAAGCAAAGACATCTTCAGCAGTGTTCCTAGGAACCTTCACTCTCATCGTCATCTAGGCCTACAGGTATCTTTGTGGAAAAGCCCCCACAGGGCCTCTGCATCAACCCCACCCTGAGCTAGCTATGTAACCCTTCTGCTCAGCAGAACAGCTCTCCTCAGCCCCGCGTGACATATCAGGTCCTCAGACCAGCAAGCAGCACCTGCAACACTGACCTGTCAGCCTGAGCCAGGCCAGACTGGCCCACTTTAAATACAGCATAGTTCTCCAGCATTCTCAGGGAGGGGCGGTTCTGTGCCTCCCATTCCCACCCATTCTTGGCCCGAGGACCCTCCTCCTTCAACCCCTCCCCCATAATCTTTCGGGATTCTCGAAGCACTGAGGCCCAGCCCCTGTTCCCTGGGTATGCTGCCTGTCACTGACCCTCAATCCTTGGCCCTGCCCTCAGCTTCCTACCCTAACCTAACTCCCCTTTCTTGGTAGTCCCTGCTGTGGCTCGCTGCAGGCAGCAGCTTCCTGGGAGGTCCACAGAGGAAGCTGGCCCTGTCCTTAGCTTCCCAGGCCCCATCAACTCTGCAGGTAATGCCTTCTCCCATTCCAGGAGGCACAGGAAGGGGTGTGGTCTCCAGATTCTCTTCCCCTTCTCTATGCTTAGTCACTCCTGAGGTCTCACCATGAACCAGTAACCCAGGTACCTACTTGTGGGTTTGAGGGCCTGGCCAACTTTCCAGGGTAAACCCCAGTCCTTAGGCTTTCCCATTGCCCTGCGCCACTGGGCCAAGTGGAGTCATGGTAGCAGACAGAGATAAGTTTTCCTTTTTATTTGGCTCCTTCTGCGCACCTCTCCCAGATGAGATTTGGGATAGCAGCACAGGCAGAGGAAGGGGCCCCCACACTGCCATCAGGCCACAGCAGGTGCCCACCTACACTCCCGCACAAGCTCCCGGTCCAAAAGAAGCTACAAAAAGCAGAACTCAGAGGCACAGGAATGCAAGGCCGTTTCCCAAAAAGAGTCCAATATGTCCAAACTTGAAAAGCCAAGCAAGATCCTTCTCCTTTCTCATAGGTGCCAACCAACACAGGGACGTGGAGGTGTGGCTGCAGTCCCCAGAGTCCCTTCCCGTAGCCACAGCAGCCTCCTCTCTCGGTAGGGTCGCAGCCCATTCTGTTTTGTTCTTTGCAAGAGGCTTTCTGCAGTCTTCCTTTGGTAATCCTCCAGCCAAGTCAGCCTGTTCGTGAGGGCCGGGTCAGGAGTGCTGGTAACCCAGCCCAGAGCTGGTTCGCAGGTAGCCCCGCGGCCAGGGAAGTGGTCCAGCTGAGAGCGACCCGGGACATCGGCGCCAGCTTTCTGAGGAAGCCTGGGACAAACCCGGCACCTCGGCCGTCACCCGGGGCCTACCCAGGTTCAGGTGCGCAGAGCATGAGGCACAGCGCAGCG